CACTGAATTGTCACCGGGCAGAGTCTTGCGGAGGGGGTTGCCAGGGCTGCTCCTGCACTGGCCACAGGGTGGGACTCTAGAGCCTTGGCCAGGGGCCTGGGGTGCCTGCTCCCCCCACGTGCCCCCTGGAACCTCTCAGCAACCTCCCAAGGGGATTTATCGGCTCCGCTTCCCGCCTCGGCTTTGACCATCTCTGGCCTTTTACTGCCACCTCGTGGAGGTTTGTGTGGGGCCAGCCCCTCCGTGCGTGCAGCTGGCACGAACCAGCCTGGGGTGGATTCTGCCCGGCTGGCCTGGCAGGGGCCCGAGCTGGCGCTAGGCATACACAGCCTAACAATCGCTCAGGGCCCCGAGCAGCTCAAGGGGGCACCCATTCACTCTTTATTATGTGTTGGGGGGCAAAATATTCCTGCCTAGGCTCCCCCACTGGGCTTGTGCTGCCTCTGGGGTGGGCCCTGGTCTTACAGGACTTTAGGGGCTGGGGTTCAGTTCCTCTCTGTGCCACTGATGCCCGGTGTGACCATGGGTGATTCCCTTAGCCTCGGTGCCTCAGTTTCCCAGCTGTAGAGTGGGGATAACAGCCCTGCCCTGCCTCCTGGGGAGGGGAGGGGGCTACAAGCAGTGTCAGGTGCTCGGACCCTATGGGGCTGGGGCCAGATCAGAACCCAAGATGGCCAGGGAGCTGGAGGCGGCAGATATCGCATTCACAGCCCTGGTAGCACCAGGCACATTCCCCTGTGCCTCGCCCCTGCCTAGGAGCTGAGCCCCATGGCGAGGGGTGATTTTCCCCCCTGGCATGGGCTGCGCCCCACCAGACTCAGCTCCGCTAACGGCCCTGGGTGGGGAGCGCTGTGCAGCCCGTGGGGCGAGCCGGCCGGTCCCTCGGGGCTCAGTCACCGTCAGATCAGCAGTGACGAATCTCTGCCACGCGGCGTGCCCCGTCTGTGCTGCAGAATGGCTCGCTGGGCCTGATCCTCCCCGCGGCAATGCCCCGTTACGGACCTCGCCCCATCTGGGTGAGCTCTGCAGCGCTGCTCTCTGTGCGCCACCCCCCATCCCCACCCCATAGCGACGCTCGGACACGGCCCCTTCCTGCCATGCAGGCTGGACACCAGCATCTCTGTAGAATGGAGCCGGCTCAGCCCCCTGCCCCCAGAGCTGGGGATGTACAGGTGTGTTTGGGACCTGCAGTGGCACGGGGTGGCAGGCGTCTCCTTGCCCCTGCACCAGGCCTGTGGGTGGCTCCACCCGCTGGGAGTGGGGCAGGGAGGGGGCAGAGCTGGGGTGGTTGTTAGCACACCCAGCCTTTTCCGCGCCTGTCCTGACCCCTCCAGTTCTGCTCCTTGCCCTGCATTTCCCTGAATCAATGCAGACCCTGCCCCAGCTGTGTAAAACCGGGACAGGCCGGGCCTCAGGCCCTCTCCCTCCCCCTGGCCTTGCCCGGGTCAGCCTCCTCTCTCACAGGTCAGAAGGAGGCAGCTCCAGCAGGGTCCAGACCCCTTTTCCCACAGCTCCAGGCCATCCTGGCCCCTGGAACCTTCCCAGCAAGGACCAATGCACGGCAGTGAAACCCAGAGCCTCTGATGTGCCACCCAATTGCTACTCTGCCCCCGCTGCTGGGCTCGGACGGGGGATAAGGAGCCGGGGGGCCCCTGTGCGTTACTGAGGCTTGTCGGTAACATGAGCATGCACGGCTGGAGCTGTAAGAGCCAGAACGCGCTGCGCCCCCTTAGCATCGCTTGCCTGAACTCGGCTCTCCTCCGAGCAACGGGGCGTCTGTGCTAGCGAGGGACCAGCGCATTCAGCCTGGGGGAGCCCGCCCGCCCCTGGGCACCCAGTGTCTATCAGCACTCGGAGCAGGGTCCGTTGGTGTCAGCCCAGCCCTGCCCTAGCACAGCTGGGGTGTGAGCCCTGCCGGTGCCAGGGAAACAGTGCCTGGGGTGCCTGCTCTGCTGGCTGGATCTTTGGATGCTTTTATGACTCCCCCCCCCCACCGTCTTCACCACCTGACTCCATCTCAGCATCTGTTCACTGAGGGGCTCGAAGGGAGAAGAGGGTCTTGGGCCGGAGGAACCTGCTCAGCTCCCTCTCCTCCTCCATCGCCTTCCTCAGCTCTGAGCTCCCGTCCTCCTCCCTGCCCCAGGGACTCACCTGCCCCGCCACCATCTCCTGCGTGGGCACCGCTGCCGTCCGCCCCCTGTGTGATATTCCCCCTTTACAGTGCCTTGATCTGGCTCCGGCCTGGGCTATCCCGCTTCCTTCGCTGGGTGGCTCCAGTCTCTGCTCTCCAGGGTTCAGCCTGGGCAGGCAGCAGAGAGAAGCCAGCCTAGCGAGGGACGGACGGACGGACAGGATCCCACACCCGGCTCCCTGTTCCTTTCAGGATCCAGCTCAGTATTGTCTTCAACCCCCATTCTCCAAACCACCTCCCGGACCCTGTCTTGCTCCCTTCCCTGCCCAGCTGGTCTCGGTCCTTTCACCCCACCCCACCCTCCTGGTGCGAGACCCTTCTCCTCCGCAGCCCCTCTCCATGCTCCAGCTGACAGCTGCTCTCATCCCCTCTCAGCACGGGGAGGGTTTTCCCTGAGCAGGCCGAGCCATAGCTGGGATTCAGCGAAGGGGCAGGATGCTACAGCAGCCGGGTCTCCCAATCCACGTATCCGAGTGCTCCCAGCTAGTCCCAGTTCAAAGCAGGTGAAACAGTAATAAAAAGAGAGAGAAGGGAATTAATCAGGGCACGAGACAAGGATCAAATCCCCACCCCCCAGGCTGCAGCCTCCTCCTCCCGGGGTGTGTGCGTGCACGCACGCACGGTGTGTGTCTTTGTCACTTGTCTTTGCACTTGGGCCCCTTATCAAGCCCCTCCCAGGGATGGCAGCTGGTTACGTTTGATTCAAGGAGTCCCCAGGCCTAGAGCCCCACTGGCCGAGCTGGGCTGAGAGCTGAGCTTGTTCTGCCATAAACTGAGACATCCGTATAACCGCCCACCCTGCCCCACCCCGCCCCGCCCCGCCCCACACGCTGCCCCTGTGCTCTCTCCCCAGCTACACAGGGTCAGGCCTTGGCCTGCTGTCGGGGGACTTCCCAGGGGGTGACTGTGCCAGGAGCACACTTCCCTCTAGGGCTGTGTGGGAGGCTCCACCCTCCAGGTGAGCTACAGAAGGAAGCTTGCAAGGGTTAGGGATCCCCTGGGTCTGTCTGGGGGAGGAGAGGGGCTTTCCCAGGAGCCCTGGCCAGAGCCAGCTCAGGTAACTGCCTTCCGCCTCCCTCCCCTTTGCTGTTTAAATGGGGTCTAGCCGGGCATTTTACTCTTCTGTCTGAGGAGAGATTAATCAGACTGGGACTGTTCAGCTTGGAAAAGAGACGACCGAGCGGGGATACGATAGGGGTCTTTAAATCATGACTAGTGTAGAGAAAGTAGATAAGGAAGGGTTGTTTACTCCTTCTCATAACACAAGAACTAGGGGTCACCAAATGAAATGAATAGGCAGCAGGTTTAAAACAAACAAAAGGAAGTATTTCTTCACACAGTTAGGGTGACCAGATGTCCCGATTTTATAGGGACAGTTCTGATATTCGGGGCTTTGTTTTATATAGATGCCTATTGCCCCCCACTCTCTGTCCCGATTCTTCACACTTGGTGTCTGGTCCCTCTGCACACAATGCACAGTCAACCTGTGGAACTCCTTGGCAGGGGATATTGTGAAGGCCAAGACCATAACGGGGTTCAAAAAAGAACTAGAGAAGTTCATGGAGGATAGGTCCATCATTGGCTGTTAGCCAGGATGGGCAGGGATGGTGTCCCTAGCCTCTGTTTGCCGGAAGCTGGGAATGGGCGACAGGGGACGGATAACTTGATGATTCCCTGTTCTGTTCATTCCCTCTGGGGCACCTGGCATTGGCCATGGTTGGCAGACAGGATATTGGGCTTGGTGGACCTTTGGTCTGACCCAGTGTGGTCATTCCTATGTTCTGCTTGCTGTCCTGCAGCGTTTCTGGGAGCTGCTACACAACTGCTGCAGCCAACCCAGAGACAGCTGCTTCCCAGCAATGGGCGAGCGCATTCCCCTGCCTATCTTGGGGCTCCAGGATTCCTTATCCCTCTGGTGACTGTCATTAACGATGGTCATTGGGTGCATCTGATGGCGGCTCCCCTTCCAAGGTGCGATCACGTTGTCACAGCGCGGAGGCGAGGGTGCTGGAGGAGCACCAGGCCCCGTGGTTTATAACGCCCACGCAGGGACAGGATGCGCCGGGGAACGTTGCCGAGAGTGGACAGGCACTGGATTCGCTCGCACCTGGAGAGTCAGATCTCCGTCTCGCCCAGGGCGCCAGCAGCCTGCTCCGGGTGCCGGCGTGCGAAGGGAGGGCCGCGTGCTCGTGGATCGGACGGAGTGCGTTTGGCATTCTCTGTGGGCTGGTAGAAATGACGGCGCGAGGGTCGACGTTTTTCCAGAGGGCTCAGTGCCCCCAGCGGGGGCCCAGTTCAGGAGGGTGGGTGGCCGGTTCTCGGGGGAATGTGGCAAACCTGCCCCTTAGGTGCCTAAATGGGGGGCTCCCTGGAAAACTGGGCCTAGCGTGCAGGGCCACGCTGGATCCGGCCCTGCCACGGCTTTGACGCCCCCTTGGCAGCGGTGTAAGGCGGCCGGCGGTGCGGGGAATGGGGTCGCTCTGCACCGGGGGCAGGGTTACGAGGCTTTTCTCCAGTCCAAAGGGGGATCAAAGTCTTGGTTCCACCCAGCTCACCCGTGCCAGCTCCCAGCCCTGCTCTTCCTTATCCCGCCCAGCCTGGGAGGCGAAGCCTCCGGTCCCATATTCGGAGGCGCTGGGGCTGTGCGCCAAGGCGCCCTGGGAAATGCAGTCCCGCTTCCTTGCCCAAGAGGCTCCTGGAGAGGCAACTTTGGGGGCCCCCTGGACTACAACTCCCAGCAGGCCCTGCGGCCCCTCCCCCCCCCACCTGCTGTAGGAGCGGCTCGGTAACAGATCAATGGGGGGGGGGGGGGGGGGATGTGTAAGTTTCATTTGCTTCCTAGTTAAATGCAGCTCGGAGCCGCCGGCCGGCCCGCGGCAGGAGACACAGTGAGTCCGACCCAGCCCCTGCCGAGCCCGCGAGCCCCCCACGAACTCCCCGCAGCCCCCCGCGAGCCCCGCTGCAGCCCCCGCGAGCCCCCCACGAACTCCCCGCAGCCCCCGCGAGCCCCCCACAACCCCCCCCGATCCCGCTGCAGCCCCCGCGAGCCCCCCACGAACTCCCTGCAGCCCCCTACGATCCCGCTGCAGCCCCCCGCAAGCAGCCCCCGGGCACTGGGCACTGGGACCGGTCTCCCTGGCTGCCCTGGTCCCGGACTCGGAGAAGCGGGGTCTGGGCTGCCCAGGGGACCCCTCGCTGGCCCGGCGATTGCCGGCGGGGGGTCCCGGGGCTCTCCCCCGGAGCGGGGTCCCGGCCGGCGGCGCATTAGCTGGGGGGATTTAATGGGGTTTGGCGCTTCGCTGGCGCCGGGACGCGAGCTGTGCCGGGGATGCAGCTTTGGCCGGGCTCCGCCTGAGCCGCGCCGCCGCATTCCCGGCTGGGCGCCCGGGTCCCTTGGCTTGAAACCTCCCTGCGACTGGCCCAGCGCGCAGGAGCGATCCTGGGACGCGCCGCAGAGTTGCGGGGTCTGAGCTCCGAGGCCTTGGGGGGGCTGCTGATGGGGGGTCTTGCCTGGTCCCTGAGTGCCTGGGGGGAAGGGCAGCCCCGGGCCCTCCAGACAAGAGAAGCTGTGGCCAAAGGGGCTGGTGTGACCCTAGGGGAGCAGTGAGCGGGGCAGGGAGGGGATGCTGCACCCAGTGCTGGGGCTCCCAAGGGTGCTGACCAAGTGGAGCGGGTGGAGAAAGGAGACTCAGGGATTCCCGGGCTGAAGGAAGTGCCGGACATTGAGCCCTAGAGAGCTCTGGCTGTTTAGTGTCCCAGAACCAACCCGATGGGTGACTCGCTCTGGCGTATGGTGTAAATACCGTCCTGGGCAGAAAATACCAGCTACCAACGGGCTTTGTAATCCAGAACAAGGCAGAATAAGAACCGGCGGCTGGAAGGTGAAGTCAGACCAATTAGAAACAAAGCTCATGTTTTTAGAGAGGCCACAGGAGGTCTGGCAAATAGCCTGGGCCCCACAGGCCCATGTTCGGAACAGGGCGGGTGACTGAGCACTGGAACAAGGTCCCCAGGGCAGTGGTGGGTTCCCCATCTCCGGGGGTTTGCAGACCCAGACTGGCGTCTTTCTGGACAATGCTTTAGCCAGACACACGTTACTGGGCTCAGTGCCGGGGGAACTGGTTGAAGTTTGATGGCCTGTGATGTGCAGGCCAGACTAGCTGACCTAATGGCCCCTCCTGGCCGTATACTCTGTGAATCGACGAAAACCCGACATGCCCCTGCACTGGGCTAGGCTGACATCACGTTGTCCCCTTGTCGATGGCATCTTGGCTGTGGTCAGTCCTCAGCGTGTCACCAGCCTCGTCCTACCTGCCTCTCTCATCCCAATACAGGTCCACGCCTGAGCAGAGGAGAAAGAGGAACCAGGAAGGTAGAGGTTGACAATCAGCCCTTTCGAGGCCATTGGAAGAGCGGGCGGAAAGGTCTGGGCTTTTCTGTTGAAAAATAGTTTTGTTGCAATCAAAATGTTTTGCAAAAACCGTTCAATGGGGGGGGGGGGAATCAGAAATGAAACAAAATGAAAGTTTTTGTTTCGTCTCTAATTAATATTTTTGCTCTGTTTCTGTTCCTGATGTTCAGATATTTGTCCCCCTCCCCCTTTCTCTCTCTTTGTACCTTTTTTCCACTGGGAAAAAGGAAAAATAGGTGAGGAAGGGGCTTTTCTCCTGCCCCAGGCATCTGAAATCGGAACCAAACCAAAAATCGCCAGGCAAGATGAAAACTTTTGTTTTGTTTCAATTTTTGGGGGTTAAAACCCAGAAAATTTAGTTGAAACATTTTTAATAAAAAAAATTGGGTTTGAATGTTTTTTGCAGGAGGAATTGTTGATCTGTGCAGCCGCTCTCAGGGGTAGGCAGGGAGCGGCGTGTGGCCAGGGACGGTCTGGGCATTGGGATCCCGGAGCCTTGCCTCAGTGTCTCTGGTCAAATTTGCAGTGACCCAGGGCCAAACCTTGGACAGCCGAGCGCTTGGCTTCTCCGTCAGTGCTCCAGCCCACAGCGTAGGGGTGAGGGTTGTGTTGTAGTTACCATGGGCCACTCTGCGCAGGCATGGGGGGGCGGGGGGATCTGACCCCCGGCTCAGGTGGGTCAGAGGAGCAGGAGGGATGGGACATGATGTCCAGCGGAGGACTCAGGGAGTGTGGCGAGAAACCAGTGCTGAGAAAAGCTTGGGGTCTGGGCTTCTCTGCCCCCGGGCACAGCCCTGCTATGGTTAGTGAGTGTTCGCTGTGCTTGTTCGTTGCCCAGACACGCAGCAGGGATGCAGACGCCAGGGCTGCCCTGCCCACTGCGGGCTTGACTCGTCCCTGCCCATGCAAATGCCCCAGCTCCGGCTGCTTTGGCTTCACCCACTTTACAGCCCCATAAGCCGCTGCAGGAAGTAGATTTCCTGGCTGGTTCTAAATATCCCCTTTGGCCTGGTGCCTCCCAGCTGTGCCGGGGGGAAGATGGGAGGTGATGGCTGGGCCTGCCCTGCGTGCCGTTCTGTACATGGCCCATGCGGTGCTCTGGGGGGTACACTGGTGGTCACCCCTCTACCATGTCTCTCAGCAGCTGCTGAATGAGCTTGGGAGGGGTGGGAGGGGGCGGGTTAGTGGCCCAGGCTCCAGGGACCAGTCCCAGCAGGGTTCATCCTCCCCTCGTGGATAAGGAGATGAGGGTCTCTTAGACGAGCCTTTACCGCTCCTGGTCCTGCTTGGCCTGCACGTTCGGGCCCCCCGGGTCCATTGCTTCCCCTCCCTGCACCGGCGCTGGGGCAGGGCGCGGTGTCATGCGACTCCACGTCGAGGCCTCGGGTTCTCCGCACCGGGCAGGTGGCCGTGCCGGGAGCTGAGCGTGCAGCTTGCCCTGGGCCTGCGATTCCCCCGGCGAGCCAGGTCCGCTGGTGTCCGGGCCGAGGCTCTCTAGTAACGGCCCTGGAGGGAGGAGCAGCCCCAGGCCCAGTGTCCCCCTGGAGCTCAAGGGGGAGCATCTCAGCCCTGCCCCCCAGCTGAGCAGGGCCGGATGAAAGTCCCCAGGGACCCCTCCCGCTGGTGCTGCCCCTTCACCAGCTAGAGAGGGTCCCTGGTGAGCCTCTTCCTGGCACCTGGGCGGCTCTCCCAGCCCCTGGGCACCAATCGGCAGCTGTCCTGGCCCCATCAGCCCTGCCCTGGGCTCCCGGGAGACGTGCTTCTCCTTGGCGCGTGGAGCCGGCTGCAGCCTGCCAGGACCTGCCGCTCGCGGCCCCACCCAGGCTCCAGCCACCCGTACAGTCACCAGGAGTGAGGCAGCGTCTGGCGTGGGGGCCGGGCGAGCCGGGGCCTGCCGCCTCTCACCCTGCTCTGCTCCTGTCCTGGCTGCCTCTCAGCAATGCCCACTGCTCCCGGCCACCTGTGCGCCCGCCGCCTGCCGCCCTTCCCCAACTCCCAGAGCCGGCGGCTCCCAGCGAGCCCCGCCCGGCCCCCGGATCTCCTGCCCAGACCCCTCCTGACACCACCAGATGGGGGTTGCTGCAAGCTGGCTGCCCCCCGGCCCACTCCCAGGCGAGCCTTGTGCTCCAGCAGCAGCTGCGGGGAATAAATAGTCCAGCAGCCGCATTCCGAAACGGCAGCCGGCGCGGAGCCTGTGGCCTCCCGGTGACACCCCCGGCTGCTGGGGCCTTCCCAGGGGGCCCAGGCTGTCACGGCCCCTCCTAGCACTGCCGTTCCCAGACCAGCAGGGGCAGCGGGGAGGCGTTAGGGTCAGACATGCCCCCCAGGCTCTGTCTGCCTGCTCCATCCTGCTGGACACGTGCCATAGTCTGGGGCTCCTGGCCTGTCCCCCCCCGGGGGCCCGTCTCTAGCCTGGTACCGCCTGGGACTCACACACCACTTTACATGGAGCCTCACAATCCCCAGCCGGTCGGGCAGCACCACGGCCTCATTTGACAGTCGACAGGTAGAGGGAATGGGACTTGGCCAAGGTCCTACAGTGAGTCAGTGTCGTCTGGGAGTAGAACCCAGGAGTCCGGGCTCCCAGCCCCCCAGCTCTGATTACCAGACCCCACTCCTGTCCCCAAAGTGACGATAGAACCCAGGAGTCCTGATGCCCAGCCCCCCCCCCCCCCCCCCCCTCCCCTAATCCCCCCCCCCCCCCCCCCCCCCCGAAGTGACGATAGACCCCAGGAGCCCTGACCCCCCCCCCCCCCCCCCCGCTCTAACCATTAGACACCACTCCCCTCTCACACCCATGGATAGAACCCAGGAGTCCCCGGCCGGCTGCTGTAACCTCTGTGCAAACAGGTATCCCAGTAAAGGGGACCCCTCCCCGCAGGCCTCTGCGCTCAGCCAGCGTTCACCCTTCTGCCCAGCCTGCTCTGTGTGTGTTCGTTCTGGGCGTGGTTGGCTCTGAGCCGGCGAGTCACGCGGGCTGGCAAAGACAATGCCCAGGGGCGGGCTGCTTGGCAGGCTGGGCTAGCAGGGGGCTAGGCAGGCACGTGGAGGAGAGAGGGCAGGGCTGGAAGTGGACTGTGGTACAGAGAGGACTGTACAAGAGACCCAGGTTCAATCCCCGAGGCCGGAATATTGTGCCTGGGGCCAGCTGGGGCAGTTCAGTGCCCAGGGCAGGGAGCCCCCCCCCGTGATCCTGCAGTACCCCCTGTGGTGGCTCTAGACACGCCCATGCAGATCTCCGTGGCCCAGGCTCGTGCCATGCTGGGCCTGGGGGGGGAGGGATGGAAGCAGCAGAGGTGCCCTGCTTGGCCCCGGATGCCCTGGGAGCCCCTGTGGGTTGCACCCCCGTGCCAAAGCGGCTGAGGGCTCGGAGCTTGGTTTGAGCTGCTGTCAGAGCAGGGTCCTGTTCTCAGGCTGCCTTCATCTGTCTGCAGGAGCCAGGCCAAGGCGCTGACTCACGAACCCGCTTCCCCTCCAGATCTGGCCGGCCGGGGAGCCAGGACAGTGCCGCCAGTGGGATCCCGGAGCCACCGGCCTCTGAACCACACGGTCTGTCTCCACGGGAAACCAGGGAGGGAAGGCGGCTTCCGGGCTCACCCTGGGAGAAAGGGATCCGGGGGGGCAGGTAGATGCTCCGTCCCTGCAGCGTTTCGTTTCTCCTGGGGGCCTGAGCCCGGTGCAGCACCGGGATCCCCTGGGGGCCGGGCCAGAGCGTTAGCCCTGCCCTCCAAGCGGGCACTGTCTGAGCCTGCACCCACCCCGTGCCCCTCAAACTGCCCCCCATGGCCCTGTGCCGGGGAAGCAGGAGGTCCCTGCCTAGCTCTGCAGCGGGCGGGCGGCGCTCTGTGCGCAGCATCCCGCCGGCCCCCGGCCAACATCCCCACTAGCCATTGGGCCCTGATGACACCAGACTGGCTGGAGCAGACGGCACAAAGGCTCCGGGGTGGGAGTGGACCCAGCGAGGGCTGGGGGGGTGGGTGCCCTGGAGACAGCGAGGCCAAGAGGAGCCCACCTTGGGAGGCAGTTTGCCCAGCTGCCAGGCCCAGGCCCAGGCCCAGGGCACTTCCTCCTGCCAGGGCAGTTGTCTCAGAGCCATTGGACGTGCCCCAGAGCCCGTCTAGTCCACCCAGGCCCTGGGCAGGGTCGTGCTCTGGTTCCCAGCTCCCCGGCTGGGCTCCTGTCCCGTCCCTCGCTGCCCCTCAACATCGGGACGTTCTTCCTCAGGAGCCCCGGGGACCCAGGTAGCCCTGACCCACACCCAGGGGAGCAACCGCAGCCTGGAGCTGGCAGGAGCCGGGACCCCCCGTCCCAGCCAGCTTCCCAGTCCCACTGCTCAGACTCCCCGCTCTGGTGCCTGAGCCGTCCTGCCAGCAGAGCCCGGACGTGTAACCGCGTGGGCTGGGATCTGAGGGGTCGGACAGAGAGCCGAGTCAGGGCTTGCTGGCGTCAGAAATCGCCCTGTCCCGAGAACCCCACCCCAGTGCCCCAGCCCCTGGACCCGAAGCCAAGTATCGGGCCGGCTTCCCGGGCCATGGGCTGAGCTGAAATGGGGGGTGCTCAGGCGGCTCCGGGGCCCTCTCTGCGGGTTGCTCAGGGTGCGTGCCGGGTCCCCGGGCGCTCGCTGGCCCACAGCAGCGCGTCAGAGGGCAGCCGGGTTGCCAACCCGCCAGGGATGTCCTAGCGCCCTGGGAAGGGAAGATGAAGCCGGGAGGAGAGCTGAGGTCAGGGCAGCTCTGCCAGGAGGAGCCAGCCCAGTTCCCATCGCTCAGTCACAAGGCGCAGGGGGAAGTAGCGGGCGGTTTATTACGCGGCAGTCGTGGGCTTGGCAAACGGGCGGGCGGACGTGCCACAGGAGGAAACGCTTTACACCCAGGGAGCCGCCCCTGCCGTAACCTGCCGTTCGCTGCTCCTGCCTGGAACTCACGGTGCTCGGGGCGTGGACAGATCACACAGGCGTCACCTTGGAGGAGTTCGCTCTGTGGTGTCAGCAGGTGCAGGGCCGGGGGGGGGTGTGTGTCTAGGAATAGCTCCCACCCCTCCCCCACTAGCCCCAGCTATCGGGGATCCCGAAGCGGCTCGAGCCCACAGGGCTCCCAGAAGGATGGACGCGTCTCCTGGACAGGCCCAGGAATCGCCCTGCCCCCCATTTGCCTGGGAGTTTCCCAGGGGGCTCCCACCCACGGACCCCACTCCCAGCCCGGGAAACCAAGGCACGAGAAGGGAAGAAGCTTTTACAGTGGCACACAGTGGAGCTGGGAATGGAACCCAGGAGTCCTGGCCGCCAAGGTGCCCCCCTCCCTCACTAGCCCCTGCTCCCCTCCCAGTAGCGTGATTAGAGCCCAGGAGTCCTGCCTCCCACCCTGCCTTGCTCTAACCACTAGGCTTCTGGGCAGGATTTCTGAATGGGGGCTGGGGAGGGGACGGCCCAACACTGAAATTAGCAGCCCCCCTTTGCCCTCCTGCGCTCCCCTGGCTCCTTGCCAGGGGCGGGGGGGCTCCTCCCCTGAGTCGCTGCTCAGGCCATGTGGGCGCTGGGAAGGCAGCCGGCTCTGTGTGACAGGGCCCTGATTCCCCGGGGGGAGGGAGGGACGCCCCCATCCCGACAGGTCCTGCGCTGGGGGCCAGAAGCAGGTGAAGCTGCGGCAGGGCCTTGGGAAGGGCCCTGGCCCCTGTGTGTGGAGGGGGCGTGGTGCAGGGCGGGGGGGCAGACTCCGTGCCCGGGAGGCTGAGCGGTTTTACTGCCCGTCCCGTGGTCCCTTTATGGCCGCAGACGGTGCGTTGGGGGAGCCGCCCTGCCTTGGCCCTGCGTGTCTCCCTGCGTGATGTGGCAGGGAAAGTGCAGCCGGCTGGACTTTGCTCCCGCCAGGGTGGGGCCTGGCTGTTCACAGCTGTCCTGCCTGTGGGATGCAGGAGAGAGTCGGCATTTCTTCAGGCAGTCAGGTCTAGTGGGTAGAGCAAGAAGGAGCCTGGAGTCAGGGCTCCTGGGTTCTGTTCCCAGCTCTGGGAGAGATGCAGCATCCAGGGGTAGGAACGGGGGTGGGGGAGCCAGGCCTTCTGGGTTCTAGTCCCAGTTCTACCACTGACTGGCTGGGGGACTGCCCCTCGCTGCCTCAGTTTCCCTGTGTGTAAATCAGGGCTCTCCTGGGAGAGGGCTGCCTGAGGGCAGCACATGGGGCTCACAGGGGATCTGGCCCCCTCGGGGCATTTCAGAGCCTGAGTGGGGAAGGCCAGACCGGGCTCGACCGGACAAATGACGCTGGTGAGAAACACAAAACTGCAGCTGCATATCCCAGGCTCCTTCCGGTCCCTGCAGAACCAATGCCCCTGCCCTGCCCTGCCCACCAGAGCGAGACAAACCCCAGGTCAGGCAGCGTCCTGGGCAGGGGGTTTGGAGCCTGGCAGCCCTGCACCGCTGCCCCTTTGGTCCCAGAGCCCAGCTCAGCCCAGCAGCTCTGCAGGGCCCATCAGACACCTTGTTGTGCCCAGGACGCTCCTGATGTGCACTGGGGTGGTGGGAGGAGAATGGGTCCCCTTAACGCCTGTGCGGGGCTGGCTCTGCCAGCAGGATCAGGTGCAGGCAGCCCAGGCTGGGATCCCTGAGTTAGCAACAGCCTCCCACCCCGCACAGGGTGCAGCAGTGTTTGAACCGGGGTCCTTCGGCACCACTGGAGCTAAAGGGGCCAGCTCCATTATCTGGGCAGCAGTAGTAGGCTGTTACCCTCTGTGCTGAACAACCCATGGGGTGGAAACAAGATGTGTTTTACAAACATCCTGTATTAGGAGCTGGGCTCTGTCCTTTCTCGAGTTTGACATGGTGTCTCTCTCCAGATCTATGTGTCTGTGACAGGAGAATCAGGCCCTGTCTCTCAGGACCCGGGCAGGGGTTTACCAGGCTTCTGATTAAATTAAGAGACTTGAATGCAAATTGAAATTCACCCCCCACCCCCCTGACTGCTCCCCTCCCAACACCCCCCTTGAATGGGGTTTGTGTTTGGAGTCAGATATTCTCAGCCCCAGCCGGCTCCAGGAAGCAGGATCCCAATAACCCCCCCCCCCTGCTTTCCCCTTCCCAGAGTTAAATAATAACCCAGGGCAGCAGGCAAAGCACGTCCTGCCCGAGCCCTGGGCCCTTCGTTCCTGGCTCCGTTGCTAGGCTCTGGGCTGAGGGGGTTTAACGATTTGAATAACCGTGAGGGTTAATTTAACCCCTTTGGGGCCTCCTAGGCAGCTGTATGGCTGCACATGGCCTCCCGAGATCCTGTTGAACAACGAGACGGGCTTTCAGATGAGCCTTTAGGTGTGGTGTGAGTCCAGGACCTGTTATCCTGGCTCTGCCACAAGTCCTGGCCCCAGGCTATGCCTCAGTTTCCCTGTCTGTATCCTGGGGATAATGAGGTGGGTCCATCCCTGCGGGGATGAGTTTGTCGATGGAAAGTGCTGGATAAGCAATAAAAGATCCAGCAGCATCTTGGAGTGTCCCCTCCCCGTGCAGTGTGTCCCTGCCTGGCTGCTCCTCCCCACCCCAGAGGTGGCTGCTTTTCAGTGCTGCTGTGTGTATGTAGGTGCAGGAGCTGTGGAGCATCATTGAAAGTGGGGTATAGATTTGCCCCCTGAACCTCCTCTTCCCCACTCAGCCCCCCTCCCCCACCAGCAGCCTGACCCTCCCCTGGCCCTGGAGCCCCTACACCCACCCCCTAAGGTGAGTGGCATTGTGTCCTGGCACGTGGGATCACAGCGCTGCTCAGGTGTGACCTGGCCAGAAAGTGGTCAGGTGAGGGTCATGGTCCAGGTGGCTCCCCCCCCGGCTCCGCAGCCCATGTGGGGTGGCAGGGCGCCTTGGAGACATCCACCCTCCAGGAGGTGATGGGGTGAAAAAACACCAACGGTTATTGTGATGAACAAGAATGGGAACAATCGCATGGGGATCAGAAATGAGAGGTTTCTGCAGAGCTGCGACCCCCTGTGGGGTGTGGGGGGAGAGCGCAGGGCTGGGCTAGCAGGGGGCTGCGGGTCGGGAGTGAGGGGCACCGGCAGGGCTGGGGGTGGGAGCCCAGGCTAGCAGGGGCGGCGGGTCAGGAGTGAGGGGCACCGGCAGGGCTGGGGGTGGGAGCCCAGGCTAGCAGGGGCTGCGGGTCGGGAGTGAGGGGCACCGGCTGGGCTGGGGGGAGCCCAGGCTGGGCTAGCGGGGGGCTGCAGACTGGGGGTTACCAAGACGACACGCAGGCCGCAGCCTGGTATCTAACCGGGCTCTGCCTGGCTCTGCCCCCCTCGCTGAGCCTGCAGCCCCCGGCGCCCTCTGGTGGCCAATCCATCTCATCACTGCTGCTCTAACTGCCAATGGGGGGCATCCCCCCCCAGCACCATCTCCCCTCACCTCCAGATGAAACCGTCTCTGATTCCCCCGGGCTGCCCCACACTCAGCCTCCACCAGCCCCAGTGGTGCCCCGGGCGGGAAGGCAGCCGTGCCCAGAGCCGGGCTCTGAGAGGGGGCGTCAGTCCTGGGGCACGCCCAGCTTGTGGGTTTCCAGCCATGGCCCGGTGCTGCCCGTCTGGGCACAGGGGGATGCCAGGGGAGCAACACAGAGACACGTGTGTCCAAAGCATGTGGCCAGGACGCGGGTTGGACTCCCTGTCCCCCATGGCTCCCCTAACGCCCAGCTCTTTCTCCCTAGGTGTGGGACGGAGCCGGGACCTTGGGACTGGCCCGGTCCCCGTCGCAGCTTCCTGACGCAGGGGGTGGTGCCGCGCTCCCCACATGGCAGCTGGGTGCCCCCCGTAACGCCAGTCAAACTGGACGCCTCGGGCCTACGTGAGCCACCCTCAGGCCAGAGCCCGCCCGCCCGCCACTCCCACCCCAGCTGGGACTCCCTGCACCATGCCGGCCAGGGGCCGAAGGGATCGTCTGTGGGCAGATACCACGATGCCACCACCATCACCGGTGGGTCCAGCTGGGGGCACTGGGGTAACCACACAGGGGGGAGCCGGGCTGGCCTATCGGGGGGCTGAGGGGGGGTGGGTCTGAGGGCTGCAGGGTTCACAGCAGGGGATGGAGGGGCTGGGACCCCACCCTCCAGGGCACTGGGGCTCCTGCCTGGGAGATCCCATCCAGCGCACCGCACGGGAAGGACCCGAGTGCCACCGGCCAGCCCCTGCTGCCAGCGCAGGGCCACCAGCCTGTCAGGGAGATGGGCGCCCAGGGGCAGGTGACCCCAGAGCGTGCCCAGGGCCTGGCCAGGCTGCCGTCCTGCCACCCCCTCCACACTTCTCCTTGGAGATTTTCTCCTCTGCCGGGGCTGTGGCCAGCAGGTGGCGGCAGGACCTTTCCCGTGGAGACATGGGAGAGCAGCAGGGCTGTGACGGGAACGTGGGGACCCGGGAGCCTCTGTGCCCTGCCTCCAGGGGCCGCTCGTCCTGTGCGCCCACAGCCAAAGAAAGGCAGGAGCCAGACGGACTCGGTAGCCGGGCAATCGCGGGGGCACCAGCTCCAATCTGCCCCAAGGACGGGGGACTGGCTGGCTCGGGAGGGGGGCGGGGGGGTGTCTGTCCCCACTAGGGGTCGCGGGCGTCGGTCCCGCCCCGGGCAGGACCTGGAAGTTGTTGCCCTCAGCTGGTCAGAGGCCCCCTGTGAACTGAGCCAGCGACTGAGAAGAAACACCCGAAATCCCCGAGTGACACCGACACTGACGCGGTGGGAACCAGCCCTCGAGGGGGGACCCGAGCGCAGAGACGCCCGGTGGAAGGGTCTGGTGGTTCCCGAACGCGGGCGGTTGTGCTCTGCGCCCTGGGGCCTGACCGGGGCCTCTGGCTGCTGCCGGAATATAAATGGTTAACCAGTGACCTGGGCTCTGCTCCCTGAGGGGTCAACGACTCCCTCTGGGACGTGGGGAAGTCACCTCGACTCTCTGTGCAGCCCCCGCTAGCCCAGCCCGGGGTACCCCCCGCAGCCCTGCCGGTGCCCCTCACTCCCAACCCGCAGCCCCTACTATCCCAGCCCCGGGTACCCCCCGCAGCCCTGCCGGTGCCCCTCACTCCCGACCCGCAGCCCCCGCTCGCCCAGCCCCGGGTACCCCCCACAGCCCTGCCGGTGCCCCTCACTCCTGACCCACAGCCCCCGCTCGCCCAGCCCTGGGCTTCCCCCAAGCCCTGAGAACCCCCCACCCCACAGATCTGCCAATGCTTCCCAATCCCGACCCACACCGCCTGCTAGCCCAGTCCTGGGCTCCCTGCGCCCCACAGCCCTGCCAGTGCCCCTCAACCCGCCCCACGGCTGTCCCTCCTTCTAGCCCAGTCCTCCCAGCCAGCTCCACCCCCTCCCCGCCTCACTGACCCCCGTTCCTCTCCCCCCAGACCTGTGTAGCTGCGGCAACGTCCCCGAGGTGGAGATCATCAGCCTGCTGGGGGAGCAGCTGCCCCACTACACGCTGCGGGCCGACACGCTCTTCGGGTACGAACACGACGACTGGCTGCACACGCCCCTGCTGCCCCCCGAGGCGCCCACCCCCCTGACGCCCCAGCAGATTGAGGAGACCCTGAAGTACTTCCGTGAGTGCCGTGGGGCGCCCCTGGGGGCCAGCGAGGGGACGTGGGGGGAGCTGGGTACTGGGGGTCCCATTGGGGGGGCAGGGGCTGGGGCGCTGAACCAGGGCAGGGAGCAGGGCTGGGGGGCTGGCAGGTGCCCCCTCCCGGGCCAGCCCCACAGGGCTATGGGCAGCTTCCCCCCATGCCCAGGACACAAGAGCAGTGCGGGAGCTAATTGCCCGGGTGCAGTGGGGGGATTTCCAGGCCCAGAATATCTTAGCGCTGCAGCCTCCGTCCTCGCTCAGGGACCCCCACACTGCGGGCTGGGATCGGGGGGCTGCTGAGAGGCTGAGGGGGGGTTACAATGTGGGGGCTCCTGGGGAGGGGACAGCGAGGATGGTTAGGAGGAGCCTCTGAGGTGCACCCCCCACTCCCTCTGCCCCCCGTTAGGTAGGGGCTGGTGGCCTTTCCCTCCAGGCTCAGGCCTCCCCACGGGACCCAAGCCACTACCAGCTGGTGCCAAACGTGTCTTCCCCCCATGGGGCGCCTGGCTGGTGTGCGGGCCCCACACCCTGCACCCACTCCAGTTCCATTCGGGGCACAGGTCAAGGCCCTGGGGCCGAGGTTCGGGGTGTGGTTCCCCACTCAGTGTCGCCTCCCTGTGGGCTGAGCCGGTAAGAGCCGTGTTCCCCCCCCCAGCCCTCTGGGGGACCCCCAGCTCCGCCACCCACAGGCAGGACCTCCAGCTCCGCCGCCCTCTGGGGGACCCCCAGCTCCGCCGCCCTCTGGGGGACCCCCAGCTGCTGGAGTCCTGGAGCAGCCCACGCCCAGAGGAGCTGGAACTCCGGGACCAGGACGTACATTCACAGAGCCCCCATTATCGGGGGGAGACTTGTGACCTTTGACCCCTTGGGACTGGCGAAGCTGGGGGGCCAGGAAGGGAAGCACCGTGGGGCCAGGTGGTTCCCCCTTCCTGGGGGCTTTGGGGTCAGAGGTTCCGTATGGGGCACAGACAGGATTAGCTCTGATTCGTTTGTGATTATTGTCCATGTGTTGCGAGAGCAGAAGGGGAGGGGGCAGATTAGAGCCGGGGGGGGCTGACAGGGAGGGAGTTACGGGGGGGGGGGGGGAGGGTGGGTGGGAGGGGGGAGGAGGTCTAGGTGGGGGTTGAGGAGGGAGTATAAACGGGCCACTGGGAACTTAGCCAAGTTTGCTCAGTCCCACCAGGCCATCTCCGGTAAGGGACCTTGGGCAGATGGGACACCCCAGACCAAGGGGCATGGCTGCCCGTGCGGTCGGTCCATGTGCGGGGGGTAGCGGGGGGGGGGGGGTGCTGGCTCCTCTCCTTGATCCCGCGTCCTGGCCTGTTAAGCTGCCAGTGGAACGAGCCCCGTGTAATCTGATTGTGGGACCTAACCGGGGAGCAAATCCCTGAGTCGGGGATTAGGCCGAAGCTGCGTCTCCTGCCCGGCCGCAAGGAGCCTCAGCCCAGCTCCCCCGGCCACGGGCGCAAACCCGCTGGGCGCCTGGCTCTGGATCTGCCCTGGGGGGGAGGGGTCTGGCTGCTTGGTCTGTGCCCGGGGGGAGACTCGCTCATGGAAAAGGGCTTCACGGACACGCGCTGAGCCCAGCCAAGTCGTGATGGTCTAGTGGTTAGAGCAAAGCGGCTGTGAGCCAGGATGCCTGGGTGCTAGTCCTGGCTGGGGGAGGGGAGCGGGGGCTAGGGGTGGGCTAGAAGCCATAGGTTCCCTCCGTGGCCAAGTCACTTTGCTAGGTTGCCTTGTGCCTTGGTTTCTCTTTGGTTCTTGGGGTGGCGGGACTCTGGGGCGAAGGGCAGGAAGCCATCCAGCCTCGGTGCTGGGTGGGTTCCTAGGGCCGGTTTCCCTGACCTGAGACAGTGAGAGGGAATGCAGAGGGGTGGGGGGTCTGTGGGACCGGCTCTGGGACGGGAGCTGGCCCATTGTGGGATTTGCTTGCGTCTGCCCATGCCCCATTGGACCCGTCCCGTTGTGCTTGCGTCCCCTGCTCGTGAAGGTTCCCCCCATGCACCTCGTCCATTATTAAAGCACCGGCATCAATTATTCAAGTCTTCCCCTGCTTGGGCCTCCGTGCTACCTTCACCCAACTGTGCTTATGGCAGAGCTGCCAAGGGAGCCAGCCCGGTTCCAGCTGCCAGCCAGCCAGGGGATGGAGGGCACCGTGGGCACGGACAGAGAGCGGCCTGGGTCCTGCATATGGGACTCTCCGGGCCGGCTGGAGAAGCCCCTACAGGGCTCACAAGTCCCCAGCTCTGAGGGTGCGGCGAGCAGACGGGCAGGGCAGGATTCCCGCCCCCTGGGCCAGGTGACAGCACCTCCCTCAGCACCAAGGGGCGTCTCAGAACGAAGGAAATTCCCACCCAACAAGCTTGGTTCCCCCTGAGCTGGGGCTGGGAGCCGAGGGCTCGTTTGTAGCGCCGCTGCTCTGGGACCGGAGCTCGGGAGCCAGGCCCGGATTCAAAACGTTGCAGCTGAGAAGAACCTGAGTGGTGGGAAATCTGGGACTTGTCTGGGCTGGGTCACAGGACCCCCCCGACTCCCACTGCCTCTCGGCATGGACCTCCCCTGCTGCCCCCAGCCCACCACCCACGATGGACTAGAGAGCTCCCCACCCACCTCCCTTCGTGGGGAAAGACCCCCATGCTCCAAGTACAGGCCCCAGATCCCCCCAGCACCTCCCACCCTCACAGGCTTCCCCATCCCTCCTCTAGGCTGCAGGTCTGGGCTCCGCTCCCGGTGTGCAGCCGCGGCGGCAGGCGGGCTGTGAATCAGCCCCAAGCGCCCCGGTTCATTAGCTGCGTACGTGGCAGGGATGGGGGAGCTGCTTTCATGCAGCTCCAGGCGGCGAGGAGGAGCGGGGGACAGGAGCAGGGTGCCGGGCAGCAGGATTGTCAGCCCCACAGGGCCCTGCTTCCCCCTTTCCGACACCAGCCGTCAGCGTCTGTCTGTGTCGGGGCCCCGACCTGCACAGGGACCCACCTGCAGGGTCTGGCCCGGGATTCCCCCTCCTCTCACCGCGGGCTGGGCTCAGCAGACACCCCTGAGCACTGGGGAACGATCCAGGAAGCAGGACCCCTGGTCCCTCCTATGGGCCAGAAGAGGGGTCGGGTCAGGGTCAGATTTTCAAACAGCTCCGGGCTGATCCCTCAATCCGCAGAGCCCTCCAAGCTGGGACCCTTCGCACCCTGGCCTTGGGGAGGGCAGCCCCTGCCCCTGCCCCTGCCCCTGCCCCTCTCCCAGGAGACGCCTCCGGGGGCTGGCTCTGCAGCAGGGGATCCTGGTCCAGTCGGGGGGGGGGGGGGGCCTCCCCCCCCCCCCCCCCCCCCAGGGGCTGCTCTGAGCCAGGTGCCACTGCAGAAGGATGCAGCTGCAGAGCAACGGGCTTCTGTCAGAGCCGATCCATTCTGCAGGGAAGGGGGGGGAGCTCCTACTGACCCCCCCATAGCCACTCCCACAGATACAGGCTTAACTCCAGCATTGCCCCCCCCATGAGCCCTTTATCCCCAGCAGTGCCTGTGCCTCTCTAAACAGGACACCCTCCCTTTCCAAGTAGATGGTCTAGTCTGTGCAGCTCTCCTCTGCCCCCCCCTCCCCGCTTGAATGAGATGTGCCCAGCCAGGTGCAGAAACAAGGGAGACCCTATAAATAGGGGTAGGCAGCGGTGGGGACCATTGCTAGGGAGCAGGCGCAGGGGAGGGAGCTGGGCTGAGCTTGACCCCCCCCCGCTGCTGCTCGGTGACAGGCTGCTGCAGCCCGGCAGAGCCGCATCTTCCCTTTGCTCCGGGAGCTGGCGCTTGGCTGCATGTTTCCCCCTGAGCTGGGGGGGCTCCGTGGGCCCCAGGCCATGGAGTTCTGGAGCAGCCCCGCAGCCTACGCCGAGGTGCACGGGAGCCCGGCTCTGGTCAGCCCCACGGATCTGATCGCTACCGAGCTGGAGGAAGGTGAGAGCCGGGGCGGGCGGTGGAGGGGTGAGTTGGGGGCGATGGGCGCATTGACCCTGTGTGCTCTGAGCGCTGACCTTCACAGCCCCGTAGCGCTCTGCGGTGATCCTGCCCTGCTGTCTGTAACCCCCCTGCTTGGCTATGGATAAATCTGCCAGGCCCCATCCCTGGGGGCTGCGCCGTGTGCGCTGCCCTGGCCGGGGTGTCTGTAGCTTGCCCCTCCGGCGTGGCTGGGCCTGCTGGGGCGAGCGCTCGGTCGTGCTGCGTGGATGGTTTGGTGCCTGGTTTTCGCCTGCTGCGGGTTTGCGGTGGCCCTGGTGCGCCTGGCCCCATGGGCAGTGTGTGTTCACGGGGTGGCTGCCCTGCCACTGTTGGCTTCCAGCCCCGCCTGGGGGAAGTGCCCCGGTGGCTCAGTTGTGCCGTGTTGTGCTAGAGCCCCTCGGGGCGGGGTGCCCCCCGTCGCTTTCCTCTCGTGGGGCGGCTTCCTGGGCAGGAGCGGGTGCTGCAGGCGTGGAGCGGGTCTGAGAGCCCCTGAACTGCTCTGGGCATCTGCCCTACCTGGGCAGGAGTCTGCTCCAGTTCGTTGGGTGCTATTGGGCTCCTTTCCTGGAAGGGGAGGGTGGCAAATGGGGTCCGTCCGGCCCGGCTGCTGCTTCCCCGAGGGTTTGGGCTGGCAGCGATGCCCGGGCAGTGCCCCTGCATCTGTCCAGGGCTGCAGGGTGGGCGCCCTGTCGTCCGGGCGAGGTGTGTGTGGCACCGACTGGTCCTAGAGTAGCAGGGGCTGTGGGCTGCCCTCCAGCAGAAGGTCTCTTCCCCCCCCCCCCCCCCGGGGGAGCGCCAGGTTTTCCTGGAGCCCTCTCTGACAGGGCTGGGGGGCCCCTTCCCGGCGCTGCCATTGGCAGCCCAGCTGGAAATGTTGGGGGGATGCAGGAGGCACCCACGTTCCCACTCCAGCCACCTGGCAGGGAGGCGTCACATGAGGCCCAGCCACTGCCCCAGTCCCCCCTCTGGCTCACTGCAGGGTAGCTGTTGGGGGAGACGGGGCCTGCGGCTGGAAGGCCCGTGGGTGCCGAGGGCTTGGGGGGGCAATGTGCTGTCAGGATGGCGCGGTGAAAGCAGAGCTCTGAGCTGGTGCCCTGGACCCCTGCCTGGGGGGCTACGCTGGCGTCTCAGTGACCCCAAGGGGGAAGATGGTCTTTCCCCAAGAGCGCAGGGCCAGGGGCTCCTTGGGGTGGGGGTTGGCTGAGAGCTGGAGGAGCAGTGGGGTGGGAGGGCAGTTGATCTTGACACGGCTGGGGGGGCAGAGCGCAACCAGGGGATGGGGCTCGGACCCGTCTTTCCGCATCCCCATGCTTGGCGGTTTTCTCTCGCCAAACAATGGCTGCCAAGCGAATCTACCCCCGGGGTGAGATACAGCCCCCACCTTATGCCTGGCCCATTCCCGGTCTCCGGGGGGGTGGGGGCTGTATCTTGCCGCACAGCCTGCAGACCCCAGCAGCCGCCTGGCGGCCCGTCACTCACTCACGCCTTAACGAAGCTCATGCTCTAATTATTTCCAATTATCGTTCAGCAGCCTGATGAGGCGCTGGGTGGGTCCCCTGCAGAGACCGAGGCCCCGTTGGGGGAGGGGGCCGACCTCTCGGATCCTGCCCCCGCCCGCCATGCGGACGTGCCAGCCTGCACGCGGGCCGGGTGTCAGGAGCAGGGCGCGGCGCCCGAGGGGGTGGGGACGGGGACGGGGGTAGCGGGATTAGCCAGGTTGTTGACAAGACAGCAGCTGGGCGGAACGGGACAGGCTGTTCCGAGGGTCAGCGGGGGTGGGCATCAGGGGGCGTGGGGGCATCGCCATGGCAACGCGCCGCCATGACGTCACTGCTGACCGGGGTAACGTAATGGGATTTGTGGGATCTCTGAGCTTCTCCTGCTAACCCACTTGAGAGGCACCCCGGGCCCTGTGTCAGCCGGGCTTAGCTGGGTTTAGTGCTCTGGGTGGGGAGATCGCTCGCTGATCCTCTCACCCCTCCCAGGCAGAGAGTCCCCGCTCAACAGGTGGGGAAACCGAGGCACGCAGCTGGGATGCTTTGTCCCCTCGGCCTGCTTGGCAAGTCAGTGATCACCTTGCAAATGGAACCCAGGAGTCCTGGCTCCCAGCGCCCCTCCTGTAACC